TATACTCGAAGGTAAAACGCCTAGCTCATTTGTTATTTGAAATGACGTCACGAGTTCAATTTAGATACTGAATAATCATTTTACGGTAAATATCCAAGGCCATTACAATTGATATTTCGCTTCCCAACGCTTCCGCAGGCTGTTGAATATTTTTATACTTTTGTTTATATCTCAGTTTATTTTATCAAATATTTCTTTCAATAGATTGAAATACCTTTACCTAACCAAGCCACGTGTGTCAGTATCATCTTTTATTGTTTATCAATCAATTGTGGTAGCTGGAAACTGGAAAGCCTCATGGTTGTCTAATGCAAGATCAATGAGATTGTCTTATCAATATCATTATGTAGATTCTAACATGAATTGTGATGTGGTAGGTACCTAGTTATGTATTGTTCATTAGTCATTACTTTGACTTACCTCTATGTTAATTGTTAATGCAAACTTTTCTGTTGGTATGTGAACTGTGAACAATCTTCATGTCACTCAATTCTCTCAAGTTGTGACCGTCATGAGCCTCCTTTATTTTGTATTCTGTATAATGTAACTGGATGCCTTTACTAATATGGTCTTTGTATAAGATTGTTTGTTTCTAACCATACTTTGGTATTCATAACTTCTTATGAAAGAAAGTTGTTAACATTTTGAGCACCTATGTATGAGCTATGATCCCAATGGATCTCACGACAAAATTGGGGAGCCAGATCTATGATCCGAGTGGATCTAGCGACAAAATTGAAGGGTCAGATCTATGATCCCAGTAGATCTCTCGACAAAATTGAGGGGTTGGATCTATGATCTGAATGGATCTCGGATCGGGATCCATGGGATCGGATCTCAGATCCATTTTTCCGGATCCAAGCACATGTCTGGTGCTAAAACATGCCAAATGGTTACAACGATGGTTAGTAATTCACAAAATGGGCAATTGCGATCTTAAAATCAAATAAGGATGGCGGTGTTGCCCACGTGGCGGTGCTACCCCCGCTTCCCCTATTAATTATTTCTCATATTAGAGCAACCGTCTCAATACCAGAAGGGGCATTGCCACATGGTATACTCCACAATATTGAATCTCAATGGTATAAATATATGTACATTAACTAAGCGACAGGTTTTATGTTAGAATCAATGGAGATGTCTGGGAACTGTAACTAACTGCACTATTCCAATTGCATAAAAGACGCTTTTTCGGAGTCGGGTCATAAACATCATGCACATCCGTTCCACAACTATGTAGCGTGTCCTAAACGTATTGTTCTTGTTTAATTCACATGTAACGTAATGAATATAAGTCAGCATGGCATTGTCAGCTATTTTAGCTCGGAGCTGGTATAACGGCCGCCTTTTCATCTAACGTTAAAAAACCGTCATCTACGTATATTGCAGCTGTCTACTGTGCCAGCATATAACAGAGCTCATGCCTCTGACACAGAGGAATATATCACCTGACTGACCCGGCTGCCTTTTCGGTTGGGGGACATTTCAGCTGACATTTAGCTGCGTACGTTTAGGGATGCTGGGGATAGTGACCTCAGTTTTAGTTATCGCGGTCACAGCAAATCGCACACGTGTCCTTAAAGCAGGCATCGGTAAAATCCTTTTTGAAAGGATTGCATTCCCAATCCACATTCCTAGTGCCGAAGTGGATTGCATTCCTACCCGCAATCTCCTTTTTTCACTTGGATTGTGATCAAATCCGCAATCCTTTTTTGCAATCCTGTTGTATTATTATGTGCACTAGTGGATCTGGGGGAGGGAGGGGGGCATAGGGCCGTGCCTCGATCCCCAAATCACCCATTTCTAGTACCTAGTCTTGCGAGTAATTCCTATCTAAGGCACAGGTAATTTATGGGAAATATTTTTTGCCTCAAACACCCCCACATTTAAACCTCTACCCAACCAGTGTTTTATATTTTTAAAACTCGCCCTCAAATACGTAATTTTGCCCTTCCTATGTAGTTCATCAGCGTATATTATTTTGAGCGTTTAAATTAAAAGCGTTTAAATTATTTCAAGTTTCGATGTAAAGCCCTTGATAGCAAAGTACATTAAAGGTAGTGTGCCAGCTTTCCTGGACCGTATGGAGTTAATGGCCCAGATAAGGAGAACCGGATTTTTAGAACTTATCCATACCTTCAAAACTCATGGAAACGTCTTAAATTCTTCAAATTTTGAGTACCCCAGTGCGAAATTCGCCCCGACGGGTTGTCGGTCGTACCCCAACCACATTTCACACCACTATGAACAATAAATGCACACACTGAAATCGCTATTACCGATATGCTCATCCAATCAAGTTTCGATAAACCCGTTCATCATCATCTCCTGCGGTTTCGAACACGCCTGTTAGGTGGTGCGGTAGACCGCGCCCAAAGCCAGGGCCCCGGTAACGTGAGGTAGCCGAGTCGGGGCAGCGTGCGCTGACCCAAGCCGGGGCCGCGCGTCCTCCCGGTGTCATGTGATAGCCCGGGGCTGCCCGCGGGGATGCGGTAGACCGCGCCCAAAGCTGCGGCCCCGGCTTGGGTCAGCGCACGCTGCCCCGACTCGGCTACCTCACGTTACCGGGGCCCTGGCTTTGGGCGCGGCTTCTGCTCATACTTTGTGGTGCGGTGGTGGTGCGTCGGGCCGCGCGCTCTGACTTCGGCCAAGAAAAATGCGTCAGCTGATCATTGTCATTTCTGCCACTTGCGTGTGGTGAAATGGGGTCATAACTTAAGAGACGGCTTTTTCATATCAATTATTTTACATAAAATCATATTTCAAACCATAAATAATGTTCGACAGCCAAATAAAAGAAACAATACCAATACAGGCTTACAGTTTAGGCTCGACATTGTGTTGTCTACGATTAGACAGCTGATAACTCATTCCCGTACGTCGTAACTCTATAACACTGAACTCTATAATGCTCTATAATGACCTTTGCTTATTGTCACATGTGCGCCGCATTCGCGATTGTTGCCGACGCCTGTTTGCAGGTCAGCCCACTACAGTTGTTATACATATCGAAAAACCGATAAACTTTGAGGCGAAAAAGGCACTATTCCAGGCCCATTTTTGATTTTCTTTGCGATATTAGGTAAAAACAGAAGCTTCTTATCCTAGGAAAAATAAAATGGGAAATCTTTCAAAGGTGGCACACTACCTTTAAGCCGATGAAGCCGATCTCATAATTTTCAATCGCAACAAACCATTTCAAAGCACTAATCAAACACAATCCGGATTGGATTGCAAAAATTGGAAGTAGGATGCAATCCAATCCGCAATCAAATCCTGTTTTTTTTAATGGATTTCAAATCCAGGTGCAATCCACCAAAAAGGAATGCAATCAGGATTTTGGAATCCTGCAATCACAATCCTACCGATGCCAGCGGCATCGCACGGAGAATAAGTAATACCATTCACCGTCTAATTAACCGACATTAATTCACAAATTGTAGCCAGGGCGATTAAATTCATACACTGCATTGTGTAAAACGGGTAGCACGGCAAGTTGGTCCGATTGAATGAGATCATTTATGGCAACCTATATACCTACCGTGTAATGATATACTGCGTTGTGCAATAGCGTCTTTGAAACATTCGCCCAACGATTTTCGGTAGGTAAAATCTCAAGAAGCATACCAGGAAGCTCAATTAATATGCGCGCCTTATGATAAAATATTACCACGTTTTCCAACTGATCACTTGTTTACTTTAATTTAGACCTCCAAATCAGAACAACAACATGCTGCCCTGCCCCACGCGGTCAAACTTGGGTCAAATATGCATCTCGTATGTTCACGCAATAGCGTCGCACCCCACGGTGTCGCAGTTGCGCGTGAGCCCGCCCGCACCCTCACACGTTGTTCCCGTGTGTCCCTGTGCAGCAACCTGTATTGATTGGTGCCGTGGGGAGGCTCTGATCCGACTGAGCCCCGGGATTATCCCGGCTCCGGGAAGTGTTAGTTTTCCGCTGGTTTTCCGCCGGTGCAGCTAATAGCCGCCGTCTTGGCACACACGCGCGGCGCGCACCAGATCTGCCGCCTAATGATCGACTCATTAAGGACTGCAATAATGCACACGTTTCAGCAGCGCCTCTGAGCCTGAGGCGAATGAGTCAGGTGAGCTGCAGCGAGGGAGCTCACTGGAAGTTCACTGGAAATTTCCGCGGAATGTCGCTGGAAGTTTTGAGATAGAGCCCGAGGTCAGTGACCGTGATCGTGAGAGTCGCAGGAAATTTTGTCACAAGAGCAAGCGACAAATGGCACATTCATTTGTTTTGATGCTCATTTTGCTTTTTATATCTTCTTTTTAACTAGAAAAAGACTGACTTAAAATAATGTCCGAAGCGACATATCGTGGTCAGCCATCAGATCGCCACAACAAATTATAATATAAAGGACGTCATCGTCTCGATCTGATGCGCCACATGTGCGGCCGTAAGCGATGTTCATTGCATACCCATTACCTATATCAGTTATCAACACGCATAAAGCAGCATCATGTCCTTATCACCCAGTACCTAACTACAGAGAACTGGTGGCGCAGAGCGGAAGCTACGCCAACTTTACGACAGCCGCCAATGACCGTTGTTATTGAGTTGCGAGCTTGGCTCACCTGAAACATTCGTTTGCTGATACCGATAGTTGTAATTGAGTTCGTAGCGCCTGCCTCCGTCAGCTACCACCGAACTTTGTTATTGAGCTGGGAGCGGCGCCAGCCTTCGTTAACTAGGTACTAATGCTATGTAGTTGTTATCAAACTGGCAGCTGGGCTCACCTGTTCTCCGTCCAGCGCAATGGTCATGGTGGCAGAGCGCTGAAAACTGCCCGAGTTTAGACGGTGCTCTGGGCTCTGGCACGGTTCAGGCACTCAGCCAGTTATTGAGCTGGTCTCACCTGCTCTCCGTCCAGCGCAATGGTCATGGTGGCAGAGCGCCCAAAGCTACCCCCGAGTTTAAACGATGCTCTGACACGATTCAGGCACTCAGCCAGTTGTTATTGAGCTAGGCTCACCTGTTCTCCGTCCAGCGCGATGGTCATGGTGGCAGAGCGCTGAAAGCTGCCCGAGTTTAGACGGTGCTCCGGAGTGCGGGCCATCTCAAACCGGGGCGGCTCGTGAACGGCTGAAAAAGAAAAAGAAGCTGTAAACACGAGAAAATAGGCGCTATAATGACATCACACTTTACATAACATGCTCAAATTACCTATTTCAGCTGATTTTAAACATCTTCATCGATCATGATGCACGCATATTCAGATCATTCTACCTAATGTGATGTCAAATTTCGTATTAGCCTTTGTACCAAGCAATCCGGCTCCCTTACTCATCAAGCGGTGGGTACCCACCTATATCCCACGAGCAAAGTTCGGCCAACATTCCAAATGGGTTACGCGTCATGCTATTTCAGTTTTCATTGGACACTGGGCAATGTAAAACGTGTTATAACCGTACCTGGAATGTGAGCCGATTTAATATCCACATCCCAATCGTCTGACTTGTTTCTGGTCATCGTGTCGAATCACTCGTGCTCGTTCCGTCCCGGTCAGATCACCAATCACCTCACAATCAGCCCCACACCGCACAATCACTCGCGGCGCCCGCGCCACCACCGTCGGACGCGACGCTCTCCCCTCCACAGACCGAGGACGACTGGGGAACCGCGCGCCGGCCGGCACTATCGCCCCGTCGCCGCCGCCACCGCCGCGACCGGTTGGAGCGCCACCGTCAGTGTAGGGGTGAGCAATGAGTCACACGGGGTTTTGCGAGCGATTGTATGGTGGCCGAACCAGGCGTAGTTAGGGGAGAAGTGTGTCAGCTTGGCCTGGTAGCGCTTGTGTGCGAGGTTTGCCCTCGTTCGTATAGGGAAGGGGGAGGGGTTCGGATAGACCCTCCCCGGTTTTCACGAATAACTCGCGTGAAAAAGCGGCGGAGCGCCATGGAGCTGAGCATCCTTGAATCATCTTTTTTTCTTTATTACCCAAACTGTTTGTAGAATGAAACGTGTCAATTAGTTTTTTTCATGATTTATTAAGCTGTCGTTTACTTTGGTCACTACATATGTAACGATTCCCAAAAGGGATTCACTGGCATGCACATTAAACAAGCAACTACACCAAATAAGCATGAGCTCCGCCAGTACCATTGCTCGGTCTGGTAGTGAGGTGCAGAATAGCCACACTTGCGGAGCAATCTCCTCACCCTCAAAGCGTGCCCACATATACAAGGACGGCAACAATTATGTGATCGTCTTCACCAATCTTTCTCCGGAATGCATGATACAATCGATACCGCCAGATTCGCGGATTTATCATAGCATCGAGTATTTCTGCTATTCGACTACAGTTGATCCCTGACCAATCTAATGTGTAACTCGTCGCAAAAACACTCGCATATATGTAATATCAACGGTAAATAAGATAATAATAAATATAAGGCACATCTATCACAAATCCCTTGAAAGACACAGCCAACGAAAAAGTGCACTCAGTGAGGTCAAATGCTTGCTTGCTTGCGGTGCATCCTATTGCTTGCAATCGGACCAGTCAGCGATATCGGTCGCAACAATGACGACGCCGGCAGACTGGGATCAAAAGCTACACAGAACACACGGCAAAGGACGGCTACGGGCTGACTAGTGTCCGTAGCTGCTCAAGGCGGCTGTGGAGCCAGAAGCTACCAAAAGGGCGCCCCGCGCCGACTGCGGTGAGAGGCTGCCTACCTAATGGTTGCAGATGGCAGCTCCAAACCGAGACTACGAGGAGCAACAGCACGGTAGAGCTCCGTGCTATTATAGCTGTCGGTACCTGCAGGACGGCTCTGGGCTATACCTGCCATCAGCTGCGGAGAACCACGGCTCCGGACTATAGCTGTGACTGTGAGCAGTTGCTGAGGACGGCTCCGGGTGTGAGATCAGGCGCGGGAGGTGCCGCCACCCGCCGTGTCCGCGTGTCAGTGCTCCGGTTCCGGTGTCGGCTCGTCCCGCCCCGTGAGGAAGCGGTACCAGTTGACCAGGAGGCCGGCGGGCGGGCCGGGCGGCGTCAGTTGCCGCCGCCGCTCGCAGCCAGTCTGGCCCAGGGAGATGAGCAGGCACTGGTGGGCCAGGACGGCGGAGCAGAGCACGGCGCAGACCAGCGCGTACAGAGCACCGAATAGGGCCGCCGCGCCGCTGCCGGCACGACACGCGACGGGGTTAGGGTCAGCCGAAACAGCACACAGGGGAGGGGGTCAGGCAACCGGCGCCGGCAGGGTTTAGCACGGGCAGTCGTCACAGAAATAGTCACGGCTAAGTCATGTCATGTCCGATATCGACTGCTGCCCCGGAGCACCAGTCATATGTGGTAGGCTTAATCGATAGAAATTAACACTTCAAACGACGTAATACATCTAAGCTTGCATTCTTTTATGACCTGTCACTTACCAGCATTGCTTGATGTAGTGCTGACTCCATACGCATTTACAGTGCACGCCCCATACGTATCGGTGGCAGCCACTGCACCACTTATAAGTCATAACCGTCGGTATTGCGCCGACGCACCGTAGCAGTCCACATAGCACCAATACTGTCAGTGGAACCTGAAGCGACCGTTGCAATAAATTGTGTAATGTACCGACCTGGCGTGTACCGGTGCGGTTGTCTTTGTCATAGCATGCCCATATGAAACTACACCCCCGCTCCCCCGGTGCTTTGCTATGTCCCATATCAACTGAACGATGTCCGTCCTTAATGCCCCGATATCTGCCCTAAAACTCCGGTGTATGTCGATGCTTTTCCTTCATGCTCTGTATCCGTGATGTCACGTTTTGTGGCATGTGAGCCTCGTAGCGTACGCCCTTGCTGTCTCGATCCCTTCTGTCTCCGCGCCCTTCGCTGTGCCTGTGGCCGATGTCTCGTGTTCTCTGGCATACCGCGGGCGACGGTCGCTTAGTGGAGGAGCTGTGGAGCTGTGTGTACTGTGGAGGTGTGGCAGATATGGAGGAGTGGACGATCACTTACGCAGTGGACTCGGGCCGACAGGTGAGCACCAGCCAGGGCGTCAACGGACCGGGGCAAACGCAGGCCACCGTCAGCCACGCCGCCTGTGCCATCGCCAGCGCCACGCTCGCCAGGCCGAACACGAACGGACGCTGGTTGGCTCCTCCCACACAGCAGTCCAGCCTGCGACACGGACACCGAGACAGGGCGACGTGAACGAACGTATAGCTGATACCCGCCCTTCTGACATTGTTGGTGGAACCATGCTACCCTTCACATTCAGCCTATGAGCCTTGCTACGTCGTATTGTTATTTGCAGCGTTTTGTTATACACCAGCCAACTAATCAGTGAATCAAAGGAACCATATCTACATGGCTACGCCAAATAAAAACATCACAAGCAGTACAATGCATCCTCCTGAATCCTCCACTGGTAACACCCCGGTATGCCGGCCCGGGGAGTGGCCCCCTCCGCTCACCAGGCGCAGTGGTGGTCGCGCAGCAGGACGCAGCGCTCGCACTGCACGCAGTGGAAGGCGCGGGCGGGGCGGGCCGCCTCGCACAGCTCGCAGAAGGTGTCGGCGGCATCGGCGACCGACGACGGCTGGCAGAACCCGCGCCGAGATCGGACCCGGTACCTGAGGACAGCGCGAGCGGTCGGTGGGGGTGAGGCTGGTAGAGAGATAAACTTCTAGTTGGGAAAAAATATGAAACAATCTTTTGAGAGGGTCTAAAGGGCATAACGAAATTATCAGCATATAAATTTTTCACTGCAGTCTGCATCCTTTCATACTGCTCCCTTTCTGGCCATATGCCATAGGAAATTCAATGAACGTGTACCTAGGTCCAAAAAATCATTGAAAAGGTTGCAATGATAGAGGAGTCAATATTGACAAAATAATTAACTACTCACCAGCTCAAAAGAGCAGCTGCAAGCAGAGCGGCAAATATAAGGTGTTCATAGAAGGATATCAGTAGCATAGGAACCACATAGAATTCAAAAATATAGAATAATGTGAAAAATGAGGAGCATGTCCAAATGTAATAAAAGAGACTTTTCGGTTGATGTCTCAGCACCACCCTTGATATCAGCAGGATGAGAGGAATGATTGCAAGACTGCACATCATTGTGGCCATGCTGAGTGAGGCAAACAGCATCAGCAGGGGGACAGTTGCTGCTGGGATAAGGACTTCCCAGGGGCACTGTCTGGCACCCCCAAACCAGGGGATCCTAAGTCGGTCCGTCATGGTGGACCAGATTTTGGAGTAGCTGGACTCAGGAACTGCAACTCCCTTCAGCCATCTGAAACAGAGGTGGGTGCTAATTAGAGCAACTCATGTTATATGATAGTGTATGTATGCAATATGCATATCACTACAGTGTAGAGTGTAGTGAGTAATACAGTGTACTCGTAGTTAGTAGTATCAACACAGCACACCTACACAGCACACAATGAATTCCAATTTATGAATAAGATAATGTGGATCCTTACCTGTCTACTGTGTCATCTATGGCCTCACAGTCACAGCATAATGCCAATAGGTGAGATCTTTCACCATCTATGTTGATGTATTCACAACAGCAAAGAGGATCTTGATCTGAAGTCATCTTGATCTTGTCCCCATTTTTTGCCATGATGAAAAGTAAGACTACAGGTCCAGATACCAAGACAATTTATCAGAATGTTCTGCTGCAAAAAAGGTAAGCCTTGTAATCTGATATATGGTTCAGCCTTTTAAGACCTTATATCACAGCAATGAAAAAATAACTGCAGAGTGAAGAAAACAGGCCGGTCTCTATCTATTCTGTGGTTCACCTACTCTTTCAAGCTAGATGGTATGGTTACTGACAAATGGGCCATCGAATCACACATTTTTACTATTAATAAATCACACTAGAATGGCCTTCGTAGTGGGTGGTGATGATGGTGTTATCTGAAAACAGGGCGCAGGGGGGCATTTTTAGTCACGAATATTGGGATATGCTCCACCTTAGTGCCGATAACAGGCTAATTGTCACGTGATACAGTCAAGCAAATTTCAAGATCAAGATTATTGATCGAATCACCCCAGGCGTTTTCAGATTCCACCATGATGACTAATACAAATTTGAAATGAAATTGACCTGTTTTACTCTCGACTTCTCCAAAGCAGCAGGTAGGTCAAGATAGGATCCTAGATGAGGTAGGAATGGGCCGTAGGATCCTTGGGTTTCAATAGCCTTGGGTTATCTATTGGGTAGGATATGCATGGAGCGACTGTAGCCTTAATTGCTGCAAAATTTACAAATCAACCGAAAGATTATTACCATTTCATGTCAGGACAGTATTGAATAACATTAAAATAAAATCACATAAATTACGATAGCACACAAGGCATAGCACATATACAAAGCAAATGTCAAACCAAACAAACAACAATTTTTTCATCGATGAAGGATTTTGTGAAATTCACTATCTAAAAATGATGTCACTAGTTGTGACTCATTTAATATGCATTTAATCAATTTTTTGTATTTTATTTACATAAATAGTATTTTTGTGGTAAGTAACAGAAGTGACTTTTCTGTTTTCTTTTTAATGTAGTCGTATCATAATTATTTTATCAACTATTTTTTTGCACTTTCGATTTGCGATTAGAATCTTATGACGTCATCAAAAGCAGTTACTTGATGTTTGTGGTCTTGCAGGCC